GGGCCAAATACACCCATCTTTCATTGGCATCCGAATGGACAGTTTGGTGATTAATAACTGCACATAGCTATAGTCTAATTTAAGAAATTGGTAAAGGCAATTGCATTTTAAAGAGCGTGTCCAGGAGACTAGCCTTAGATGTAAAAGACCAAGAACCCTGGTGAGTAAGGAAATTAAAGTTATGATCATTCAACTAATCAATCGAGAGAAGTCAGCGCAGGTGGATCAGACATCTTTTTCAAATGCCTCCTGGATGTCGACTTAGGACACAGTGGAAGGACTATGGCCGTTTCTCAATTCACTAGAACACGAGTACGGACTCGTGTTCGCCAAGTATGTTCTAGAGAAAAAAACAGGAAAGTATGGATTCGGGGAGAACAGGAGCATGCAGCATAAATATGGGTCAATTGGAACAGATGCGTACTCTTGACGTCACCACACGCTCAGCTCGTCTGGAGCCGCATTTCACCTCCTGTTATTAATAATATCTAGACAATAATAAATTCTAACTTGTTTTGATTTAGTGGGGGAATAATAATTAGCACAGTCAGACAAACACAGATCAAATGAACAGTTTACCAAATAAAACACAAATATCCCATCAGAGCCAACGGTAATTCACACACAACTATGCCTAAAGAGGGCTGCTGCAGACGGGCTGCACTTAGCCCTGGCTGCCGTTACCCTCGGGGCTCCGCTAGTTGCTGCGGTCCTCTCAACTTCAGAAAAAAATGTTTTTTTATCACACATTAAATTGGAAAATGGACAAATTAGGGACCCCTAAAAGTGTAATGTTCTCACCTCAAATGATCTTAAAACTTACTTTTATAGAACAAAGGCAACAGAACATAGAACTTTTAACTTAATTATCCGAGCTCTGTGAGCGCTCCATTAACAGCAGTGCATGCTGGGACAGGTGTCAATCTCAAGAATGGACAAGTCTGCTCTGATGCATAAATAGGGAGGGGCGAGAACAACATCCGGGGACTTTGTCCATTCTCGGTCTGCTGTTCTTGTGAACAGTACTAGGGCTGAGGTTGATGGCGTTTCCGGAGTACACAAGCACATGAGAACACACAAGTACACATATTAAGAAACATCCTATGTCTCTCGGCTGGCCTGGGAGCGCCTTGGCTTCCCCCTGCACAGCTGCAGTGGGTAATTATCTTGGAAAAACAATGAGACAGCAACCAGGATTAACTCGTTCATCTCGCCAACTCTTGTGGAAGGTTCATTTTTTTTAACATCTTCATGCAGTCAATGCATCCACGGCTTCCCGATTCGCCGCAGAGCATGCTAGTCTGCTTATACACTTTCTTATCATGGAAGTGTATTTGCGTGCACAAAAAGCATGCGTGTGATGATGTGGCTTCACATGGAAATTCAATGTGTGTTTGTGTTGTTCCAGAACACACTAGGTTCAGCAAGGTTGTAAATGTCCTTAACAAATTGAATGATTATCAGCCTTTCCAACATACACAAGCTGACTCGACCATTCCATGACCTCTTTCTCACCTGAAACACTGTCTTCTATCATGTTCAAGCTCTTAAACCCAACTGTTTTCGAATGCAATGTGGCCTTTGTTTCAATAGTCAGTTCACTTAAGGTGAGATCAAATATCTTATTTACCCCTGTTGAAGGAGGTGTCAGGGGAGAGGGAAGTATTGGAATCTCTGCTTTGACTGCTGCCCCTTTAACCCTGTCCCTGGTGAAGCAGAAGACAAAAAGACGACACAAGGACCAGAAATAAAGACAGTAAATGTTTGGGTTAAATGGCCACACGTCCACTGACAACCTGGGAAACCAGGTCATTTGTTCTCTGCCCAGGGTAGAGTGGGGGCATTGTACCAGCCCTCTCCATTTATGACCAAGAAAAAAAATTTAGATAAAAATAAAAATGCTTGCAAAGAAATTTCAAGTATCCACTTCCTCCTAATAGCTATGATGCAGCATGTTTAAAGTTTATCAAATTGCTATACAGACTGGGAGCACTGCAGGTAGGGACAGGAAAATTCAGAGCCTATATGTATCCCCGCAATCTTGGGTCAGGCAGTGGTTAAATCACTTTACACTTTATTGGTAACAGGTTGCAATGCTTTGAGTTTTACTACCAGACATGCCCATGGCTGCATCAGCCAGCTGCTGCTGCTATAGTTGTATATAAATAGACCATCCTGCTGTACAGCCTTAACTGCTTAAAATAAGTTTTTTGACCATCATATTTTGTGCTAGATCTGAAAACTGGACCAGGTATCCAAAAATCCAAAATTGACAAATATATGATAAATTAAAAAGTGACAAGATTTCTATATGTAAAAAAAAAAAAAATTTTCTTGCATTGCATGCATTAAATAAATACATATGTTTGTAGCCTAAATAAATAATAAAAGAAATACATTAACTATTAAATATCTTTTTTTTTTGCTTCCAGAAAACAGTCGCTGAAAAATGTACATTCAAAACTTCCCTTCATCTCTCCTGCTCTGTGTGTCAGATGTTTAATTATTCCTCTTCCGCCTTTAGCAATTATTCAATGCAGTTTATTTCTATAGCACCAATTCACAACACATGCCATCTCAAGGCACTTTACAGTTCAACAGATCATCCAGTCAAATTGATTCAAAGTTTTCTATCTAAGGAAAACCAGTTGATTGCATCGACTCTTTGACTCGATTGCAATCTCTTACACTAAGCATGCTTGTAGTGATAGTGTAGAGGAAAAACTCCCTTTTAAGGAGAAGAAGCCTCCAGTAGAACCAGGCTCAGTGTGAGCGCCCATCTGCTGAGGCCGACTGGGGTTCAAGGAGACAGAAGCAGAGATACAAAAAGCAGCTGTATATAATGGTTTGTGTAATAGGTTAAGCATATTTTTAGCTTTGAAGGTGAGAATATCATAGCTAGAGTCCTGGCTTCGGGCTGTTTTACATTTCAAAGAAACAATGAATAGGCTAATCAGCTGATACTGAGCAGTTGTAGACCGGTGCAACTAAAAAGGAGCTAAGGGGAAAGAAAGTGGACACTAGGGGGCAACAAAGAATACGCGGGAAAACAATGACATATATCTGTAAGTAGGAAATAAATAACAAAAATGTTGAAAAAAGATAACTGAAAGAAATAATAAGGGAGAGTAAAACTGAGAATTCAAAAATGATGTAAATCTTGACAAAAACTAAATAACATAAAATTAAGCATAACTGAGATCTCAAAAAGAAAGCTTAAAAAGGACCCAGAGAGGGCCGAATCATGATAAATAGTATTTTTATTTCGTCACATTTTTTAGTAGTTGGTGGAAGCACTACCCTTAGAATGTTAGCAAATGATGGAAACCCTATTTCAAAAGAACTGGGTCTCACAAAACAAAAAAAAAAAACATATATTTTTAAAATATACTCTAAATTTCAAAAAAAAGTTGTATCGCCTTATGAATACAGAATCTATAGTTATATACAAAATAAAACATGCAATATATTGTATGCAATATATAGTATATAGATATATACTATATACACATAAAATATAGATATAAAAAATATATACAAAAAATATATATATATAATTAAAAGAATGAATGTTAGAACTGTACATATACAGTCATATGTTTATATTACTATTTTTTGTGTATTTATTACTGTTTTTAAGGCTGCAATTTAAAAATTAAATTGTCTAGAGCTGTTTTAAGCTAAATTTCTTTTTGTTCACAGTCGTGTAACAAAATGACTAAATAAATCTGTCTAAGTCTACACAGAAGACTGCGCGTTAATGTGATGCAGGAGGTCTGGAGATGCTACATTGGTGTAGCTTGTAGGTTCTGAACGGGGGGGGGGGAGAGGCAGCGTCACTGGATCTCTGGGCCTTGTTGATAAGGCTAGTAGCTGGTGGGAAGAAACTGTTCTTGTGGTGTGAGGTTTCGGTCCTGATGGAAGGCAGCGTCCTGCCAGAGGTGAAGTGTCTGAAATAGTTTGTGGCTTGAGTGCGAAGGATCAGCCACAATCTTCACCGCACGCCTCAGAGTCCTGGAGCGTACAGATAATGGAGAGATAGAAGATTGCAGCCAGTCGCCTTCTCTGCAGACCGGATGAAACGCTGCAGTCGCTCTTGTCCTGGGCGGTGGTACCAGCATACCAGATGATGATGGGGGAGGTGATGATTAACTCAATGATGGAGTAGTAGAAGTGCACCATTGTTGTCCTTTGCAAGTTAAATTTATTCAGCTTCCACAGGAAGTAAATCCTCTGCTGGGCTTTCTTTTTGAGGGAGTAGATGTTCAGCTCCCACTTTGGGTCCTCTGATCATAGTTCTCAGGAAGCGGAAAGACTCCACAGTGTCAATTGTGGTGTCAGAGAATGGGATGGGGATAGCTGGGGCTGAGTTCTTCCTGAAGTCCACAACCATCTCCACCATTTGTAGAGCGTCTAGCTCCAGGTTGTTTTCCCTGCACCAGGTCGCCATATGGTCAACCCCCCACCTGCAAGCGGTCACCATCAGAGATAAGTCATACAACCAAACAAAATAGGGCATGTGCACACATGCGTAGCACGACGTTTTTGGCTGAACTGAAGTAAAACAAGAATTGGTTTATTTTCCCAAATAAAAATTTTAATTGAGACTAACTTCTGACGTTTAAGACATTTTATTTAGTTAATAAAATAAAAAAGGTACATTTAACAGAACAGGGCATGTTTCCGTGTTTTAACAGGTGAATAAGTTAGCTTATAAACATAAAGGGAGATTTTTTAGAATGTATGCATCTCTGCTTATTTCTAGGTGGTTATACAGAGAATAGATGCATATCACATAGACTACAGCATGAGTTTAGTGCACTGAGATGTTGTCCTGATAAGCGGCCATTCTCTGTCTGAAACCCTTCAGAGACAACATCACATCACCGACTAATGATCCCCTAATGTGTGGACATGTGATCTCTGAAGGGAGCAGGTTTGCTGGTCAAAGCTGATAAAACATACGTGAAGCAATCTGAGGCTCTGCAGACCAGCTCTGCCTTCATGGACACAGCTACAGACTTCTACACTTGTGCAGGTGGAGGAGCACTCTGTGGCAGTCCTATCTTTATGTGTGCTTTAGCTTTGCAGCATTTTCATGAAGTAGACATATTTGCATGTTGTAAATAATTCCTGCCATGTCATCTTCTCAGTTTAACAACACTATTGAACAGCAGTATTCGAATTCCCTGGAAATATTTGTTTTCTCCCTCCTGTCTACGGTCCCGGCCTGCCTTTTTCTCTTCATTAATGGCACCTTGATGTTCAGCCTGAGGAGCAAACCTGTGCTGCGATACACCTGCCGTTATATTCTTCTGTATAACCTCCTTGTTGCAGATACAGCTCAGCTGGTGGTGACTCAGGTCCTGTCTCTACTTGCTATCTCCAGAGTCAAACTGACATACGGCGTCTGTGGCACCATCACTACCATAGCCAACCTTACCTCTGGAATTTCTCCCCTCATCCTGGTGGTGATGTCTCTGGAGAGATATGTAGCTGTGTCCTACCCTCTCAGGCATGCTTCCATCATCACCATCAAAAACACAGCAGTGGCAATTATTGCAACCTGGACTGTCAGTTCCCTCAATAATGTCACCAGAAACCTGTTCTTATTAGAATTTGAAAACCTTGGTAGTGTCATGATGAAAGACTTTTGCTCTGATGTTGCTTGGTTTCCGAATTCGTTGTGTGAATATTATGATAAGGTATACACTGCTTTTGTGTTTATTTCAGCCGGCTTGACTGTCATTTTCTCTTATGCTGGCGTTGTGATTGCAGCCAATTCAGCCTCTACAGATAAAGCATCTGCCCTTAAAGCCCGTAAGACTCTGCTGTTGCACATCATCCAGCTAGGACTCAGTCTGTCCTACACCATTTACTACCCACTGCTCATAGCTCTGGCCGGGTCTGTAAAAAGAGTAGTATTTGTCTGGGTCCAGCGGGTGTTTTATGTGTTTATTATCATTCTACCGAGGTGCTTGACTTCTTTAATTTATGGCCTCAGAGATAAGACCATCAGACCTGTTCTATTACAGCATTTATGCTGCAAAAGAAAAGCCTTATCTGAAACAGTCACGTGATGCAAAGTCAGCTTTATTTTCATGAACAAAAAAAACAAACACATTTTTATTTTTATCTATGAAGAAGAATGTATGGACGTAAAAATACCCTAGCAGTTTGAGACAATAGAAAAGTGTTTGGTTGATATGAAAAGAGGAGATCTCTCTGCCCTTAATATTTCAGATCTTAGAATCCTGAAATTAATTTGTTTGCACAAATATATAAACATATCTGGAACTGTTTTAGATCAACTATGCAAGCCAAAACCCCTTTTGGTTGGTCCTGAATCCAAAGGTAGGCTTTATATCAGCCTTTTATTTATTTTTTATAACAAACTTTTTTAGCTGAATAAAACTTTTCTATTTTCTCACTGTATGATGTTCTAGTTAAAGTTTGTGCATTTCTGTAAATTGTACATTGCCAGCAGAAACACATTAACGGTTCATATTTTTTTCTCTGAAAGAATAAAGATTGGATAAATCTTAAGTTGTTAAGGGTCCTCTTCTTTTAATCTTTCGAATTATACTGTACATGTCAGTCTTTAAATTCCTGGGCCTCAGCTACACTGAGTGCATGTCTGTTCACTGTCCAAGAAAAGCCACAAGAGCCAGGCACACCAGCTCCACTTAGAACCTCCTTGTTTCCATATTTGATGAGGTATTTCACCTTTTTTGGAAAACAATACACGGTGTAAACCTAGACTAAAACATGACATGTTTTTATGGTCATGAGCTTTCGGTCATGACCGAAAGAACAAGATCCCAGATACAAGCAGCAGAAATGAGTTTTCTTTGTAATGTGTCTGGGCTCTCCCTTAGAGATAGGAGTTAGGTCATCCGGAAAGGGCTCAAGAGTAGAGCTGTACTGTATATTGGGTACCAACAGAAAATGTTTTGCTAATCATGGTAATAGAAAGAGAAAAAGACAAATTATTTTACAGGAAGACATGTTTGGAGCTACTGTTAAGGAAAATACTACAAGACGCAAAAGTTGCACAAATATGGAGAACTATTGAAGATCTCCTTTAAAAAAAAAAAACATTTACAGGGTTTTATTAGCAATAGTGATGTTCAGCTGGAGTCAATCTGCTCCACACAGCTTCGACCTTGTGAATTTGAAGTGTTACTGAAGAATTTCAAGCTCACCCAGTCATGACAGTGAAGCCTCGTTGGGTCACACGTTGTGTCGGAAATTCGAATAATCAGGGGTCAGTACTACTCGTCAAGAACATAACTGGGTACAGAATCAAATCTCAATTCAGGGCTTTTACCATTTACAGTTTAAATCATAGAAGGAGAAATAGTTTATATTTAGGTCTAGTTTAGAAAAGATTTAGAATATTTAGATACAAACATCCAATGTAGACAGAGACATAGATTTAGGACTCAAACACACACCTATACACAGTGTCTTGTGTTTAAGTAAAAAGTGTGTGACTGAGTAAAGTGAAGCTCCTGTCACACCTTGACAATTAAGACCAGGGGTCAGCATCCTGTTAGGTTTATTCTTTTATACATCATGTGCATTGTTATTTTGTTAGTCAGATTAGACAGAGTAGAAGGCCTTCCTTCACATTGTGGATGTCACGGTGTGTACAGAGGTCATCTGACAGGACAGCCTTCGTGTCTTTAAGAATACACAGGATATGGGCACATCTTGGAGCCGGTCTGATAGAGGATAGCTATCTGTAACCCTGAAGCATAGAAGCAAGCTGCATGAAGTTCAAGACATGGATGGCGTGTCAGTTTCTGATACGGACAGCTAAGCATCCACATGATGCAACACAGACTCAGAAGGTATAAGAAGCAGGAGCGTCCTTCACAGCGCCATTTAGGTTTTGTTGCATTGATGAAATAATAGAAACAGGATAAAGGAATCTTTCTATGGTTTACATGTTTCTGTTGGGAGGAGCTGATTGAGTCATGAGGAACCAAGCAGGAACTGACATCCATCAGAGCAGAGTTCTCTAACCCTGAAATCCCACATCATCCGTCACCAGCGCTCCTTGGTGACATTTTTACTTTGAGGACTTGGAATGGAGGAATATTCCCATTCCTGCATCAGTGCGCTACCTGTTTGACATTGCCGGCCGGCCCATAGGGGGCGCTGGGGCAACGCCCTCCCTGATAGGAAGAGAGAAACGTAAAATATATTTTACAAATTAACTCATAAATGTCAGTTTTACTCTCTAGAGTGTGTACCTATAAGCAAAACAAATTATATAAACTACATTTCCCTATCTACTGTTATTCATTTGTGGATTTCCACAGACAGACTCCTACAGTCTCTGTCTTGGGGCGCTGATCAGACTCCCCCACATGTACAGAGAATCTGCCAATCATGTACTATTGCTAGGTCAATTTAATAATTTTAATGGCCAATCAGCGTGTCAGAATTTTATGGTCTTGGGGCGCTGAAAATACTGCCCTTTAACAGGCTGTTTGAGTTTTTGAGCACAATAAATCACCAACACCGGTAACCCGACTGAGCCTGGATTCTTGGAGGCCAAAGAACCCCGTCACAGTGACCAAAATCATCACTGTTACTGTTATTATATAGTAAATTAAATCATTACTGTTAAATTGTATTTATTGTCCAATTGTTTATTTGAATTCTTATTCTGGATTAGTTGGAGACATACATTAGGCTATATCAGCCCCACCAAAAATATTTTTCACCAGCCGCCCCTGCTGTTTGATCTATGAATGGTTTTCATTGCTTGCAACAAATATTGTAATAAATGTATCTTTGCGATCCTCTAATTTATCCAGACATTCTGCAATCACACTTTTACCCTCCCTGTCATGATGGGTTAACAGAGAGGCCCAAGATGCAGAACACTGACGACTCAGAGGGAAAGTTTAACAAGTTTATTGTTTGCACAAGCATTAAAGCTACAGTGTGTAATAATTACAGGGATATAAAGTCAGAAATTTAATATATTATACATAACTATGTTATTTATCATCACTTATGAGCTCAGCCTTTTAACCATAATATTTGCGTTGCCTTAGAATTCGTTATTTATAATTTCATAGGAGCGGGTCTCGCAGCCATGGGGGCAGACATCTTTGCGCTACGGCAAGCGCAGAGGCAACAAACTAGCGATTGCGAGATCTCCCATTACGCTCGAAAATAACTACAGCAAGTTGAGAGAGATGAACTGAGACGGTACTGAACAGTAGATGGCAGTATTATGCCTGAGAAGCGTTTAGTCTGCCTGAAACCAAAAAAGAAGAAGAAGCAGGTATACTGCGCCTCAGTAACAAGAAAAGTGAACAAGGCGGCAGGCGTGAGTGACTTTGCAAACTGTTTGGCACTGTGTGGCCAAACATCAGACGAATGGAGGATCATGCCTACTCTGTATCACAACGAAAAGCGGTGGACACCGAACCCCCGTCATCTAAGAAGCGGAAACACGACGAGAATAAACGCAAGCGTGACAAGAAACGACAAAAAACACGGATCAACATTGGCACGGCATTTACACGATGGAAGTCACTGATGGAGGAAAAAGGTTTTCAAAGTGATGCTCAAGTTGCCAGTTTTCTCTTGGACAGGTAGTGAATCCTACACACACAATTGTCTAATATCACTGCAGTTTTTGGAGTACAGGATGCTCAGACCTGTCTAAAACAATAACATGCTGCGTGATGATGCTGTTACTCCCCAGTATACTTATTCAGCAACGTCCCCGACGTTTCACAGGTAATGATTCAGTAATTTTCTGTAAAATAATTTTCTGGATATATACCTGGTTACTTCTCTCCGGCTCCTTTGGAGATCTTCAAGCCTTTCCTCCTCTGCTCTATTCACCCCACTGGCCCTAGCTGCACGCTCACCCCGGCCTCTCTGCCCTCTTCCTCTCCCTCTTCCTCGCCTTGTAACCCCCGTGCCACAAACAAGACTTGGACTCTGTAAACGGGGAATATATATTCTTCCAGCGAACACAATCTCGCTGTTAAACTAATGACTACAATTACTTCGTCTGTTTATATCACCATGCAAAGCAGCTCACCAAAACGTCACAACGACGTTTTGGTGAGCTGCTTATAACGGGTATATTTATTATCTAAAGTCTACATGAAATCTATACCCTACACAGACTAATGAAATACTATCTGTAAAATTATCTATGTAAACAAACCTCATCACTTGAGAAGGTAGGTGATGCGGACGTCGTGGAAGACATTTTGTCCCGTAACGCTCGCCGTACTGTTGGGGGGGAGAAGCGGTGGGGGGAGACGTTCATGTTGCTGCAGTCTGCAGTCTGGACGTTAGATGTCGCTGAAAATTACACACTGTAGCTTTAAATAAATGAACAGTTGACTGGTTCTGGTCTGGGACTGGTTCACCGGAGTCTGTGAGAGAGACAGTTCTGTTAGCGAAGGCTTGGTTGGGATTGATCTTGGTTGAGTTCAGGTTTGTACATTGAAGTGCGTAGAAGAGGCTTTGGGAGCGGAACTGTTGGGTCCGGAGATGATTTGGTTCTGCAGAGTCCGTAAGCTGTTTCAGCGTCTTACTTCTAGAGACGAGTTTGACCTTGGCTTGAGTTTCCAGCTCAGTATTCAGAGCTGCTTGGAAATCCAGAGAGTAAGTCTTCAGGTTTGGCTCGGAGGGCAGGCTCGGCTGGTTAAGCTCTTCCAGAGCTTCACAGGAGAAAAGCAGGTAACCTGGAAGCAGAGACAAAAAGGGTTAGAACCCAAACAGGACTCAGGAGTAACAAGGTTCTCAGAGGATCTATGGCTTAGGTGCTAACCAACTGATTAAGACACTGCGGCGTCGAGGCAAGGTCTGAAGACAGCTTATGTAGTCTGGTCCTCCAGATGAGATGATCAGAAGCAGGTGCGTCGACAGCTCAGCTGAGAGGAACCAGGGCGGACTATGCTGGAGAAAGTAGGCATTTCTCTAGCTCCCAACACTCCCAGCTTGATGGTGGGCTGCATATTTAGCAGCCTTCCCTGGAAATGCCTTTCATAATCACTCTTTTTATTATTTATCATTTCAAAGCAAACATGCAGGCAATCCTTCCTCATTGGTAATGAAAGCAAATGATTTCCTCCATTCTTTGAATCCTCTGTTCTCATCAGCTACATTCCTTTTTTTCCTATGTTACCCATGCCCTGAGAAACATCCGCTGCTTTGATTGCCTGGCACCATGCAGGCTATAACCACTGATTTCTATGACTATGACACACATTTTCATTGAAAGAAATTTCTACATTTATTGTTTAAATTTATTAATTATACACATGTATACAGCACTGGAAAACATAATGAATGTTTGCTTGACCTCCTGCACGCCATATTCAAATAAACAAAAACAAAAAAAAAAAATGTTCATAAATTTGCCGCATGGGGCTCCGGAGCCACATGCAACCAAGTTGTGGGTACGTTTTGTAAACTTATCATCACGCTCATAAATATTA